AAAAAGAAAAAGAAAAAAAAAGAATTCACATGACTCAGGGTGGCACCTGTGGCTCAAAGGAGTAGGGTGCCAGCCTCATATGCAGAGGTGGCAGGTTCAAACCCAGCCTCAGCCAAAAACAAAAACAAAAACAAACAAACAAACAAAAAGAATTCACATGACTGCATATTTCTTTTCAGAAACCAAAGAGGTCAGAAGAAAACAGGATTTATTTTTTTAGATGATGAAAGAAAACACTATCAACCCAGAATTCTCTACCCAGAGATAATATATCTTTCAAGAATGAACTTGAAATAAACACATTCTCATTTTCAGATGAATGCAGATGAAGAGAATTCTAAATTGCTAGTAGACCAGTTCTGAAAAATTGTTAAAGGAAGTTCTTCAAGAAAGAAGGAAAAGGATACTGAAAGAAGAAAATGTGGAACCCAAATGAATGAAGAGGAACAGCTATGGTAATTAACTGGATGAGTACTTTTCTTAACATCTTTGAAATATATATGCAAATTAAAACATTTTCTGGTGAAGTTTTCAATGGTAATTAACTGGATGAGTACTTTTCTTAAAAATCTTTAAAATATATATACAAATTAAAACATTTTCTGGTGACTTTTCAATTATGTAGATATAAAAACTATAACATAAGGAGGGAAATGTAAAGTACCCATGTACCAGTAAGGGTTAGGCATTACAATGAAGTGAAAAAATATTAATCTAAATAGACAGTGAAAATTTGGGTATGAATATTTTAATCCAGTAGCTGCTAATAATAGTATTATGTAGCACAAGTCCAATTCATTTTCTTTTCATTTATGGATTATGATTTGGGTGTCATGTCTAAGGACTCTTCAAGTAAGCTAAATTATAAAGATTTTCTCCTATGTTCTTTCCTAAATATTTTTTATCATTTTAAATTTTAATCTATGATCCATTTTTAGTTTTTTTTTTTTTTTTTTTTTGCAAAAAGTATGAGCTTTCATTGTTTTGGTATCCAGTTATTCCAGCATCATTTGCTGAAAACGTTATCCTTTTATAAATTCCTTCCAACTGTCATAAAGCATTATTTTGGCACATTCACATGGATCTGTTTCTCGGTTGTCTAATTCTTTTTCACTGATCTGTATGTCTAGCCCTCTACCATTATCAAACTATCTTAACTACTGCAGTTATATTGTAAGCACTAAAATTGTGGAGTGTGAGTCCACCAACGTTATTCTTTTTCAACATTGTTTTAGCTCCTTTACAAACAATGTTTTACAGAAAAATTTAACATCTAACCAACCTTTTATATTGGTGTTTAGAATCCTCTTCACATTCTCAGTGATTTCTTTTACCACGTTAATATTAGAAGGTATGTAAACCAATACCCATTCACTGGTATTTTTGAGGGAAGAGGGCAGAGTGTTGATGGATTGAGAAGTGAAAATGTAAGGTCCAATAGTCTTTATATCAGTCAATGCACGGAATATTAAAAGCAGTATTGCAAATACCAATGTTGCGAGGACTTCCAATGTTAAATTAATGACATTTCTCCTCTAGAAGAACAGAAAGGTATTAATTAACTTAAGAGTACACATTCAGTGCAAATGGATAGTTCTATTATATCAAGCCTGCCAGTTTCACTGTGGAAGAGCCAGTACTGCTTGGAATTTCTCATATGACACCTTCTCCGCCCCCTACTTTCTTATAGTTCATACATACCATTGATTCTCTCAGTTTTACAGATTTAGAAGAGTTACCCACACTCTGGAATTGATTTTTCAGAAGTGCATGTACACAAGCGGGCACTTATAGATGTTCTCCATGGATACCTTCACCTACCTTTAAGGTAAAATTTTTCCAGAGGAGTACTGCAAATTGGTTGTATGTCAACACATCCATTCTTCTACAAAGCGTGTGCAGTCACCTCTACGGATTGAGGAAAGGGTTTTTTTTTTTTTTAAATGTTAAGTTACCTAATAATATAAACAACAAATAACAGGATCATTTCTTTCTCCTACTTTTCTCATTTATCAACCTAAAAAATTATATATTTACAATAAAGAAAATCATATTGTTCCTATTTATCTATTAGTTTTCTTAATGTATCATGAAATTCTGGTATGTATAAAGCATCAAGAAATATCCCATTTGACCCCTCAATCTCCCTACTAGGCATCTGTCCAGAAGAAAAATCATTTTATCATAAGGACATTTGCACTAGGTTATTTATCACAGCTCAATTTACAATTGCCAAGATGTACAAAGAACCTAAATGCCCATCAACTCAGGAATGGATTAACAGATTGTGTTACATGCACACCATGTAATACTATTCAGCTATAAAAATGATGGTGACTTCACAACTTTTGTAATATTCTGGATGAAGTTGACACATTCTTTTTTTTTTTTGGAACAGAGCCTCAAGCCGTCCCCCTGGGTAGAGTGCTGTCGCATCACAGTTCACAGCAACCTCCAACTCCAGCGAGTCTCCTGCCTCCACCTCCCAAGTAGCTGGGACCACACGGGCCCACCACAGTGCCCGGCTGTTTTTTTTTGGTTGCAGCCATCATTGTTGTTTGGCGGGCCTGGGCTGGATTCAAACCTGCCACTTTAGGTGTATGTGGCTGGCGCCTTAGCCACTTGAGCCACAGGCACCGAGCTGACACATTCTTCTTAGTAAAGTATCACAAGAATGGAAAAGCAATTATCCAACGTACTCAATACTAACATGAAGCCAGTAGATGATCTGATGCATTCCCACATAGGAGAAAATTCATTTCAATTAAAGTTAGGTGGAAGGGTAACAAGGGGAAGAAACAGGGTACCATTGCTGAATGGGCATTGTGTGCAGGTGTTTGTCACACCTTTTGTGTGTGGGACATAACCACAAGAGGCACTTTACCTAACAAAATCAAATATTTTGTTCTGGTTGTTTGTACCCTCACATTAACCTGAAATAAATTACTTTTCAGTTGAAATAAAATCGATGTCCTTATCAAAATTCAGTAGTATTGTTGAATTTAGAACACCCATAGTTGATCATCTCCCTACACCGACCATATCCTTAAGTTGGACATTCACACTTGTGCATATCAGTACAATATGCCTAGTTCCTTATGTTGACCACTTCTACATGTTGAGCCATTTGTTACAGTCCCTTGGATGGTCAACTTACGCATCTACTGTATTCTTTATTTGTTAAGTCATCATCATTCTGTCTCCTTTGGCTCTTCAAATACATTTAAGGAGTTAACTTAAAGTATTTTTCAAGTACAATACCTGCATATGTAAGTTTTCTAGGGCCAGCATAACAAAAAAGCACAGACTGGAGCACAGACTCAACAACAGAATTTAATTTTTCTCACAGATCTGGAATTTAGAAGTCCAAAATCTAGGTGTTAGCAAGATTAGTTTCGCCTAAGTCTTCCATGCTTGGTTTATATACGAATGTTTCTTACTGTGTCTTCACATATCTTTCTTCTGTGCAAACATGCCCCTATTATCTATTCTTAAAAGGATACCAATCCAACAGCCTTTTTTAACTTAATGAACTCTTTTAAGGCCTTATCACCAAATATAGCCATACCCTGATATACTGGCATTAGGGCTTCAACGTAGGAACTTTGTTGAATTCAAACTCAAAGTTATGGCTTTCAGCCCATAACACTTGTGCTTATCTTTAGTATAGATTCCAAAGGGTTACCCTGGATCAGTATAAGCTACTTGTTAGTCAAAAGTTGTGTGTGAACTAAGTTAGTAAATTAAAATTTTGCCCCTTATGATGGATAGCATCATAAACTCCTTGGAGGCTGCTATCATAGCTCAAGGAGTTTACTTTTTTGGGGGGGGTCCTATATTTAATCACCTTTAAGAATCTCTCTAAGATTGCTCCTGAAAGAGCACAGTCTTGAGGCGTTTATTCAGTTTTCCAGACCAGCAAGGGTGTATATAACTTTTCAAAGCCTGGCTTCTTTGGTGTGTGCCTCGTGAGTCAGTGTAGCTCATTATTCAGGCAGTATTTGATTGTCAATTGTGCTTAAGCTCCTTCAGCCATTAAGAAGTCCTCCTTTTGCCTTTGATGGATCTATCTGTGGCTTAGTAATGATTTCAAGTTTGCATCATGTCTTGTTTTGATTGCTCTCACGTTTTTATAGCTTTCTGGACTCCCAAGAGTATATGTAATCCCAGGAGGATTTTTTTGGCTATTACTCTACTTGGTCCACTGTGTTAATCTTTTTGTTGTTACTTTGGCTATTCACTATTGATACTAGTGTCATAAAGATATCAGCCCTCTCTTAACTTCTCCTTTTGAAGATGGTCATAGTTTTTTGACAACACTCTTAGATGTGAAGTTCTCTATGTTCTATTCCAGATATAATTTGCCCCATTAGGTGGAGCTGTGGAGCTCTTCATCCTTATATCCTGCCTTTTATCCCTGGACAGAATCTGAGTGCCATTACACTACAGCTGGGAGTGGGGACATACTTCTTCCAGAGTAACTATACCAACTCTTTGAGTAGGCATGAGGACCTTGAAGCTCCTGCAGTTTTTTTTTTTGGCTTTCCCCTTCTGGCATGTATCCTCTAGCCTATCAGCAACTGTGTGGATGGGCGATCAGAACCTCGTATTGTCAGCCTATATTACCTGGGGTAGAGCTTCTTCCCTATTAATTGGGGCTGGATAGGGCAAAGAATCACCAGACCTCTCATTTCCATATGACTAGAATAGAGCTTCTTCATCATAAAACTACAGGGAATAAGACATACCAGCATCCTTCCCCTCACACAGTGAAATCATAGCCCTAGATTGGTACCTTGGAGGGAGAGAGCCTCAACTTCTTGATTGCATTTCCAAGTGATCTGGAGAACAAGGTGGGAAGCATGATAGGAGTGGGTCACGGTTCAGATGTGACCAAGTCTTCATGTTCTTGCCATGATTTAGATTTTCTTGAACAAGTTTTTCTTCATATTCTGTATGACTCCAAATCAGTTATCAGAGTTTTTTTTTTTTTTTGAGACAGAGTCTCTTTATGTTTCCCTCAGTAGAGTGCTGTGTCATCACAGCTCACAGCAACCTCAAACTCTTGGGGTTAAGCAATTCTCTTGCCTCATCCTCTCAAGTAGCTGGGGCTACAAGCACTTACCACAATGCCTGGCTATTTTTTTTGTTGTTGTAGTTATCATTATTGTTTGGTAGGCCTGGGCTGGGTTCGAATCTGCCAGCTCTGGTGTATATGGCTGGCGCCTTAGCTGCTGAGCTAAAGGCACTGAACCTATCAGAGTTTTTTAATGATTGTATTTTTAAAGTTTCAACTGCTAAATAGCTGTTTTGTTATATACACTGATCTTCTCATATAGCCATTCCAGAAGATCTGCTCACAGAGAGTTGAGTCTTAACTGATACTTCTTACTTTTACCATCCTTAGGACTTGGAAGGGGTCTATTTTTCTGTTGTGCTTACCCTCTTATAGTCAGTAGTTAACAATGGATAATATGTTTATTCATCAGCAATGAGAATAGGATATTATACTGAGTACATAAAAAATTTTTTTTTCTAGTGATTTGATTTTTCAGAATTTGTTTTTTGTAGTGGTGATGATTATTATTTTTAAGAACTATTTTAATGAATACTGGAATAGGAAAAATAATATCCTGTTTGTTTACTTCTTTATGCGAAAAAATGAAACCACACCTCACTGATTTCTTTCCTATTTCTTGATTTTTTAAAAATCCTTTCTATATTCTTCATGTCCTTTATCCCTTTTTTGGTTTTGTTTTTCAACTTTCTCATAAATTTCCTTTATTGATTTTATCATCCATATTTTAAATTCCATTTCTGTCAATTCCATTAGTTATTTATAGGTGGAGTCCTGTGTAGTAGCTGCCTCATGGTCCCATGGGGGAGTTATTCTGTTTTGGTGTTTCAGTTTGTCAGAATTTTTCTGTTGGTTTCTCCTCATGTGTAATTTCTTATTCCCCTCCTTGTCCTACTTTTTCCTTCTTACTGCTTTCTTCACTCTAAATAACTTTATCTCACAGCTTAGGTGTTGAGGTGGCCTCTTGGTGTAAGGCCAAAAGGAAGAGAAGAGTAAAGAGTAAGAAGGAAGAAGAACAGAAAGAAAGAAGAAAAAAGATAGGGTAAAGAAAAAAAAGGAAGAGGGATGAAAAAGAATTGAAGAACAGAAAGAGAGAAAGAGAGTGACAGGAGAAATGGTATTATTTGGCATGGTGCTCATGCCACACCTATAACTGAAGGATTTGGGGGAGCTGGACTGGGCAGGTCCTTTGAAATCAGGAAATCCTTACCAGCCTGAGCAAAGCAAGATGTTATGTCTTCAAAATATAGGAAGAGAAAGGAACAAGAAAAAACAAGAACAAGAAAGAAAGAAAAAATAAAAAGAAAACAAAAAGTTCAGTAGTGTGGACTTGCCAATACTGTCTTCTCAAGGTCAAAGGTAGAAGGACTCCCTAGGCTCACTGCAGTGAGCCTTGACACCCCAGCACTCAGAAAAAAGAAAAAAAAAAGAAAAGAAATACAGTTGTATGAAATAAAGAAGAAAGAAAGAAGAGGAAAAAATAAAGAAGAAAAAAGGGAGAGGGACATCTTACATGTTGTATGAGTGATTTATGTGGGAAAGATGAGAAAAGTCTCTATTGAAAGAGAGAAAGAAGGAGAGAAGTAAAATAGAATAAATGAGGCTAAAATGCCATAACCAAAAATACAGGAGCTCTTGCTCTTGATGAAAGTAAAAATGGGAATTAAGAATAAAACCAAACAAACAAATTAGCAAAAACAAAACAAGCTCAAATAGCCAACAACAACCTCAGCAACAAATACAAGAAAAAAATATACATGTATATACACATATATATTGTGGAAGGGAGCAAATACTTCAGGGATATATATATATATATATATCA